GAGCGCTTGCAGTGTTCGAGGCATCCTCGTTGATAGTTGCAGTGCCAGGCGACTCCTGCCCATCCTCCGGGCTGGCGTAGATGTCTTCCATGATAATGTCGTCCAAGTCGGCATTGGCAGAGTTATCTCTCTGCTGAGTGGCATCAATGTTGGCCGCCGCACAGCCGCGGCCCACGCACACGCAGAGGGCACACGCAAGGAGGACGTAGCGCAGCATCATCGTTTTAACAGTCACGGTGGCAGTGGTAGTTGTTGCCTTGAGCTGTGCAGGAAAAGAGTGAAGCAGACAGACACAGGGAGTGCGCAGCAGCAGGGCTCACAGACTCCTCACTCCTCACTCCACGCCCACGCTATCATCCGCCACCGCGAGGAGAGACCAGCTCAAAGAAGACAAACCCAATTACGTGAAGCCCAAGTGCAGGGGATAAAGTGGCCTGCCGCCACCAAAGCATCTCCCAACAGAAAAACTAAAAAAAAAAAAAATGAATTCCCTCACAGCTGTGTCCCTGCCCCACACCCAACACACAGCTGCAGGCATTACACAACAAGCCCATCAAGCACCGCAGAACCATTCACACACACACACACAAGTGAGTGGGCGGCGAGCGAAACACACAGACGGGGGAAAACGAAAGAGCCGCAGCACATCCATACAGACGAATGTTGTTCGCGAAGCAAGTTGTTAAGAAACGCGCGCACAAAGCGAATGCACCCCGGCATCCTGCTGCCGCAGTACACACACACACACACAGAATAAAAGAGCTATCGCAGTCCACGAGCACATGGCAAACAAAAACAATCAAAAAAAACAATTAGGATTAACGCACCCTCCACACCACACACCACGAGGATACCACACACACACACACACACACAAAGTACAAACCACACAAAGGGGCAGCAGCTGAGCCCCAAGCAATCATTAGGGAGAAAAGGGGGATAAATACATTCACCATGAACTCGCAGCACACACACACAGAGAGAGTGCGAGGAGGCATGTTACTTGGCCACGATGCTCATGACACAGCCGTCACTGCAAACAACGTCAGCAGAAGCAGCGGTGCATGCACCCACACAGGGCTGACGCTGCTGTCCGCATTCTTCGTGTCTTTGGCTTCCTCTGGAACAGGACTGCTGCTTGTTGTGCTGATTGTGTCCGCTGGCGCACTGGATGAAGAAGGCATTGAAGTGGCGGACGATTGCACGGAATCATTTTCTTTACCTGCACTGTGAATATTAGAGGCCTGAATAAGATCCGAATTGGAATGATCCTCAGCAGCACTGGCAGCTTCGGTATTGTGCTCTGAGGGTGGGGAAGCATCAGAACCCGGCCCCCCACCGTTAGTACTTGTGAAGGTACCGCTGACTTCACTCGCCGAATTACCTTGGCCATTGTTGGTATCCGCGTGCTTCTTCGCCTCTTCGTTCTTTTCTTCCTGTGTTTTCTCATGTGTGCTGCCACCACCACCACTAGGAGTATGACTCGTGTTCTGTGGAGCAGTTTGTTGACCCTTATTGCCATCAATTGCTTTCCCGTTGTTCGAGGTGCCTCCAGGTGCCGTTGCTGGATCGGTCTGCGGTTGCAACGGGGTTGAAGGCTGTGGTTCAGAACTGTCAGGCAGGCTATTAGTCAATGACCCTGTGCACTTCCCCGGCTTAGTGGTATCGCATCTTTCAACGCTGCTATCTCTCTCTTTTTTTTCGTTTTCCTTCAGAGTTATAGGTGGTGGCCCAGGCTCACCTCGAGTACCTTTGATACCGCGATCAATGTGTTCCCCACTCCCTCCCCGCTGTGATTGATCTACCCCAGGCACACAGGCGCCATCTTTCTCAGTCTGGCCATCCTTGCACGGTGGTTTGTTAAAATCTTCAGGGCCAGCCACTTCGACATCACCGGGATCTGGTGTGGCTTTAGGCTCCACCGCCGAAGATGTCGTGCAATTTGTTCCCACCTTTTCTGCACATAAACCATCTGCGCCAGTCTCCTTGGACCCCGGGCAACCCTTTGGAGGACTACCCTTGCAAGACCCTTGATCCTTAGCAGGACCACAGCTACCAAGCCGGCCTTCTTCTCCACAAGTGCCAGAGCCCACCACCTCATCTTCTGTATTGGCATCCGTGCACGTTCCCTTGGGAGGAGCGCTCTCAGGAGGGCAAGGAACAGCACCAGCCGCAGGTGCAGCGACACTATCAGCCATCACGGCGTAGCCACCAACACTCGCCACCTCTACACGCCTCTCCTCATCCACTGCCGCAACCCCGCCGGCACACCACACGCAGAGTGCGAACGGAAAGAGAACACAGAATATCTTTTTCATCGTAGTCTTGATCTGCACAATTAAACCAAAAGCAGCAGGCTGACAAAAACAGGAGAACCACGCCATATACAACAATACCTTAACACACAATGACACAACCAACACATATATCCAAAACAAACTCCCTCACCAGGATAACCAGAAGTATGTCCACTGTAGTGTGTTGTGCCCACAGGAGCACTCCCCAACAGCAAAGCAGCAAGAAGAAAACCAGATGTATCAACCCCCCGAATGTGTGTCCCTGCCCCACACCCAACACACAGCTGCAGGCATCACACAACAAGCCCATCAAGCACCGCAGGCCCATCCCCAGTCACACACACACACACAAGTGAGTGGGCGGCGAGGGAAACACACACAGACGGGGGGAAAACGAAAGAGCCGCAGCACATCCATAGAGACGAATGTTGTTTGCGAAGCAAGTTGTTAAGGAATTCGCGCACAAAGCGAATGCACCCAGGCATCCTGGTGCCGCAGTACACACACACACACACACACAGAATAAAAGGGCTATCGTACTCAACGAGCACATGGCAAGCAAAAACAATAAAAGAAAAGCAATTAGGATTAAAGCACCCTCCACTCCACACCACGAGGATGCCACACACACACACAAAGCAAAGAAACAACCACACAAAGGGGCAGCAGTTGATCCCCAAGCAATCATTAGGAAGAGAAGGGATAAATACATCCACCATGAGCTCGCAGCACACACACACAGAAAGAGAGCGATGAGGCATGTTACTTGTCCACGATGCTCATGACACAGCCATCACTGCAAACAACGCCAGCAGAAGCAGCAGTGCATGCACCCACACAGGACTGACGCTGCTGTCCGCATTCTTCGCCTCTTTGTCCTTTTCAGCCACAGGGTTATTCTCCTGCTTGTCGCTTGCAGATTGCGAGGAGCTCGGAGAAGTAGGGGCAGACGGTTTCTGCGATTGTACTGCGCCATTTTGGTTGTCTTCATTTTGAGGGTTCCGGGTCTCTGAGGAATCGCGATGATCATCAGTAGAGCTGTCATTGTCGGTAGCGTGACCGGCTGGTGGTAAAACACCAGAGTTCTGTGGTTTCTCTTCGTTTTTAGTGGATCTGTCCTTAAGGTCCTCCAGCGACTTTTCCATGTTGGCCTCTTGTGAGGTCTTTACATCAGACACACGACCTTTGTCGTGACCGTCGCCCAGTCGGACGTGGTTGCCATCATTCTCGCTGCCTTCAGGACTCTTAAGAAGGCCAGAGTCCTCTTTTCCTTCGCCTCTATCTGACCCATGCTTGGGCGCACTCACGTCAACATCACCTTTTGGAGTGCTGGAGTTGTGTTTCTTCTCCGAGTGTTCAGATGTAAGTTCTGACTGCTTTGGCTCAGCTTGCTCAGGAGGTTTTGTGCAAAGCGTACCGTCTTCTGCTGGTGCAAGGCATCCTTCGTTTTTCTTAGGATCGAGTGAGGTAGCCGTAGGAACACCACCGACTCCCGCCAGCGCAAGATTTCCAGAGGCCACTTTGGTCTCGGGAAGCAAGCAAGGCTTCCCCCCAGGCTCCGTAGAGCTTGTGCAGACCAAAGGGTCGTGAGGGTCCTCTTCAGCAGCGGTCTGATCTACAGGCTGGCACCCCTGTCCATCTTTTGCCTCTTCACCGCTGGATAGCGGACAATTTTCATTACCTCTTGGACTTGCAAGGGCAGACACGAGACCATGAAACTTATCAGGTTTCGTCGCGCAAGTTCCCTCCTGGGTACCAGTCGGACAAGCAACAGGGAGTTGTTTACCATCCCTATCGACAATACCATTGGGCCCAACACATGGCTTCTTTTTTTCGGAAACCGAGCACTGTGAGTTCACAGATGTGTCGCAACACGAATCATCAACCTCCACAGCAGCGACACAACCGAATCCCAGACACACGCAGAGGGCACACACAAGCAGCACGCAGCGCATCATCATTGGTGTCGCTTTGGGCTGCGCGGAGGAGACAAGCGGAAGCAGACAGTCCACAGCAGCAGAGCAGTCAGGAGGCAGCGGCAACACCCACCACTCACCGTCCTCCGCACACAAATGAATCCGC